GACATGGGTTCAAGCCAGCAACTGCACTTTTATTATTTTTAAATTAGCTTATCTTACATTATAGTTTATAAATAAGATTGAGGGGTAAGATTATTTCTTTTTTTTTTTATAAAGAAAATTATTATATGGTTTACCCATAATTTTACATTGTTTACCTAAAATATTACATTGTTTACCCAGAATATTACACTATTTATCCATAATATTACATTGTTTACATAAAATATTAAAATAAAAACCAAATTCCATATAGATCTAGATAGAAATCACATTCCCTAGGTGGGTGAAGATCAAATGTTGGTGCAAATATATTTTCCAAGGCTTTGTATGCATTTGATTCTAAAGTAAAACAAAATAAAGGTTAGATAAATAAAATTAATATTCAAATATATGATTTTGTACTCAAATAAATATTTAAGAAAACAAACCTTAAACCTAAGTAATTTTCTGCTCTTGAAATCCATCTTGGAGAACTTTTCCAATCATTTTTATGTTTCACGTGCTTCATGTTCCATATATGTTAGATTTTTAATATTCAGCATGCTTTTATAATGGATGTCCCTTAGGTTTCACGTGGATCAAGATTGACATATTCTTGAGTGTTGATAAACATTAAATGGATGACAAAAATTTGTTTAAGGGCGTTAAATATAGTAAAAAAAATGCTTAACTATCCCCTCAGTCACGAAGAAGACCGAAGTGAATAAGCTGTTTGTTTTAAATTACATTATTTACACAAAATATTAAAAATACATTGTAAAATATGTTTCCCAATGAGAATTTTTATTTTCCATGTCCAGGTCATATGCAAGATGCTAGAGATCAGTTTTCCAATGATAATTTTTATTTTGTGCACTTACAATCTATCCTAGAGATCTGTTGTAGAAGCTCATAATTAAATGAACGGTGGCAAGCATTTCCTCTCTTTGGGGTGACTACATATAAGTTAGTCTTAGGGTAAAATCTGTTTAACGAGTGTTTTTATAGTAAAATATGATTATTAAACACGTTTTTTTATCTTTTCTTTTTAACTATCACTTCAGTGATGACGAAAACTTGAAATTACATTGTTTACACAAAATATTAAAATAGTTTGTTTACAACAAATATTTACTCTTATTACTTAATATCTTCGCTGATATCCAGATTTTGTTATATTTCTTTCTTTGTTCAAAGGTTAAGCTCCCTTCCTTGTTGGTTAAGTTTTCTTCTTTGGTGGTTAAACTCCTTTCTCTGTGTAACCTGAAGCAATAATGATTTTATGCACATGCAGTATATCAATTTAGTACTCTTCAAAAGTTGAGCCCCCTTATTTAACTGAGGTTTATTCCAAAAATACAACAACAACAACATCAACAACATTATGTGAGATAGATTGCAAGGGCAAAAAAATGTATTATTTAAGATAGTAGAACATTGGATTTTTTTTCTGTCTTGCAATCCATTCCAAAGAATGATGCTTACGAGGTTGTAGCATATTCATATTAGTAAGAATTAAGATAAAACCTGTTTAATGAGTGCTTTTATAGTAAAATCTTATTATTTTATGTCTCTATTAAATAGAAAATTGAAGAGTTACAATATTTTTTTTACCCTTATAAACAAATAAAATCATACACTGTAATAGTTAGGAATTGAAGCTTATACAGATTTGTTTTTCACCTCGGTGTTATGAAAAACCGAGGGAATGTATGATTTTTTATTTTTTAAATAATAAAAAACAGCGCGCCTTGACTTATACCTCGATTTTTCTAGTATTCGAGGTGAAAGGTTCGTCATGAAAAACGTTATTTATTGTAGTGAGAATTGAAGCTTGGAGCAGGTTATTGTGGACAAAAATATTATTGGACTAATATCATTAAGAATCTCGAGTGTTACTAGTTGAGTATCTGCATCAATAAAAGAGATTATCATTTAAGATTTGTGTGGGTTAGTGCAACGTGACTATTAGTGTTCAGATTGATTATAGTTCGTTGTATCAAAATCCATGTACATTAACTATTGAAATAATGTAAGACATGATTATTTTCCCGATGGTTTTAAAACCATTGAAGATTTGAGTAGGTATAGCGAGAACAATTGTCAAGCAATTATATATCTCTGCGTACCCTTTTCTCTCCCATATATATCTATAATTTCATGCATTTGTTATGTAATTTTTGCATCCTAGCCTCGTTTGTATGTCATACAACTTAGATCTTGCTTATAATAGTTTATTGTGTAAGCTTAGGTCTCTGATGCTCCAACCTATTGAATCATCATTAATTCGATTATGATTGTTATACTTATATGCTTAGTGTTTAAATTGCTTGAATTAAGCAACTTTGTTTATCTTGTTTGATTATGTCTTTGAAAGAATTCTTTCTCTAGTGATATAATTGTAATATCTTGGTTAGAAATTCTCTTGATGAGTTTCTAAATTTTCATCTTGTTTTAATTTTGCTTCCGCTTGTAAGACACTGATTTAGTATTTCAAAAGTTTTGAAATTGTTTTAATTGGGAAATGGTATATTCAATCCCTCCTTCTAAACCGTTTCTTATCCATGCTCTCACCCAACAGATTTCACACATTTTTTCATAATATAACATATATTTCACACACTTTAAACAAACATATGTGATGCGAGATTCAACTTTTGAGAGACATTTATAAAGAAAACAATGGAATTGTCATGTAATTCATATACATACATAAAAAATATTTATTGAGATGAGATAAATATATAAAAGTAAGAGATGTCATTTTTTATAGGAAAAAAATCAAAAAATGTTTTTATTAAGTCATAAAAAAATATAATTGATTAGGAATGAATTACAAAAACTAACTCAATTTAAATTAAGAAAATACCTTTGATTTTATATATTAAATCATAATCCTAATTTTAAAATAACATGTATTTACTACAATAAACAAAAAGGACCAAAACTTAAAAATTAGCTCATCAAACACTTAGGACAATTATAAACTGTATGTGAATCCCATCATATGTCATAATCAACCAAAAAGAATCTGCATAGACTAATCTATCTGCACATACATTTCTCTTTCTGAAAATGTGAGATATCCTGAATCTAAAAAAGTTATTTCATTTTAAGTATTGGTACTGATATATTTGTAAAAGGCCCACAAGAGATGGAATAAGAGGTTCTCTAAAGAAAGATGATGTATTATATCCTTTACAGCTTCCTAGTCGCATGTTCATTGGAACACTCCCATTATTTGTAACAACCGTTCTTTTATTGAAATACTGGTTCGTTTATAGTGATGTGTCCCAACCCATAACAATATGGGAGTTGAAGTGAACAAAGGGAGAAATATTTCCCACATTCCTAAGAGCGGAAAGATTTGTTAGTGTTTCCTTGGAGCCGAAGACTCATGCCCAAAAACTCCTATAAATATCTTAACTCTAAGGTTGAAAAAAACATTCAATTCTCTCTTAAAATACCACAAACAAAGCTTATTACCTTCCTTATTTGAGGTTGCTCTAACACCATAATAAACCTAAAAACGTTTGACAACGATTAATCTTATGTTCGAGGGTAGTAGGATGCCATAAACTTCTTGCATCTACTCAACCCCTACCACAAATATTTTCCGACTCCGTCACCGTCTACAATGAACCAATATCTAAATAAAGTCACACTCACATAATAAGGCACATAAAGTCATAGTTAACTAAACAACATTAAGTTACAGTTAAATTTAATTTTTACTTAATCATGCAACATCAAAGTACAACTGAAACATAAAACTAATATGATAATGATTATTCCATGTCAAAGCCATCATAAAAAAATCGACATTTACTATTGATTTGTGCAATTTTGCTTAATTGTGATTTAAAAAGATCATTTTAAAATTAATTAGCTTGAAAATATAAGTAAATTTATATATAATTTTATGGTTAAGTTGTTTAAAGACCTAATTATTTTATATGTAATAGATTCTATATAAATTTATCATAAAATTGTCATTACAAATAGTTTTTAGAGATGAATTAAAGACCATATTTAAATGCGCGCAAAGCAGAATATTCTCAAAATTTGATATAATTATACTATGATTAAATATAATTTCCTAAAATATTAATCACAACTAAATTATATTAAATATGATCTCTATTTATTTTTTTTAATTAAACTACACTTAATCTACATAAGACATCTAAAAACTTAAAATAACCTTCTGAATTATCATATAAATGTCATCAAATATTAGACTATAACATATATACCATTTTATAAAGTCAGCTTAAAACATCTCCCAAAAAATTCTACATGGTGAAATATAGTTAAATGTAAATTATAATTTTAATATTTATATTAAACTATTTATTTTATGCAAATCAATATATCAAGTTAATATTAATATATTCATAAAAAAATAAAATAGAAGTATACTTTCTTACGCTAGTAAGAACTGAATTATATTAAATATTTTTTTTTTTAAAAATTAAATAAAATTAATTGAAATAAATTATCCAATGTAAAATTATTTTATATTATCATCTAGCTAAAATAAATCATTTTGACATTAAAAGAAGAGAAACATAAAAAAATTAATTATTAAAATTATTTAATTATGATTTATTTATTTCGTATTTTTGTATCAAAATAATTTATTTTAATAATATAAAATAATTTATTTTAATAATATAAAATGATTTTACCTTATTTTAATTAATCTGAAAAATTATTCTTACGCTCCTAAAAAATCTTAATTCATTTCATACTATTATTTTCAATATTTTTTCTTTAAATATAAATATTCGGCCATTTTATTATTGGGTTGCGGGTAAAATTGACATTTACTCCTCTAAACCTAGTTATCCTCTTTTTGTTCTTCTTCACCTGATAAACCCCAATTTTCTAGGGTTTTTATCTTCATCGTTACCGCATAAAAAACTTCTCCAAATTCTAGCAATCAGATTCGAATTTCGAATACAATATCACGAAAACAGCACCCTTTCAAATCCCTGTGTTGAGTTGCAGATTCGAAAATGACGCGAGCTTATACTATGAAGGGGAAGAAGCGAAAGAACAAGGAAGTGTCAACGAAGTACCACCGTGAAGAAGATGAAGAAGAGCAAATTCAACCTAAGAAACCGGCGATTCAGATAGAAAAACCAACGCCGGTAGTTTCTAGAACAGAGGAAAATAGTGAACTTGTAGGTATTCCAATTGCTCCTTCGATTGATAAAAACAGTGAGGAACCAGGTGTTGTTTTCGTTCTCGAAAAAGCTTCTTTGGAAGTCGCTAAAGTTGGAAAGGTATTGAAAATTTTCTAGTCTTTTCATATTGTTAATTGAATTTAGGAATTAGGACTGTTTGGATTGACAACTTGAAGCACATATATGATATGAAACTGCAGCAATATTTTAATACCTGTAACAATTTGAAAAAATATAAATTAATTGAAGTTATAAGGTTTTTGAGACTATGTGAGAACTTATAAAAATGAGCTTTTGATGTATACATAAGTTGTTTTCAGCTTATTTTTATAAACTCTCCAAAATAGTTTATATGAAAACACTTTGATTTTCTTTTATCAGAACCAGCTTTTACATGAACAATTATATAACAAGGGTCTATATGATAAGTGCTTAACTAAACTGTTTATCCAAACAAGTCTTAATTGATAGTCTATGATGATTTCTCTTTATAATGTCAATTAAATTGTAATTTTAAATCATTAAAAAAGTTTGATTTTAATCATAATTACTTCTAAGGCTAGATATTTGATTGTTTGTGATTTGCTTACCCCTAGGAAGCACGGACACCAGAAATACAACGCCGACACTTACACTTCGGCACCCTTAATAATTTGAAAAAATGAACAAATTTAAAGTAATCACAAGTGTCGTTTTCGGACACCGACGCTGACACAGGCACACATTTTTTCATGGGTGTCTGTGCTACATAGGTTTATGCCTTGAAATTTTACACTCATAATATATCTAGCAAAATCTATATGCAAGATTGATTCCACAGAAAATAGAGGTGTAAAGTTCTGCTTTGTGAAATTATATTATGCTAGCCTGGAGATGCTTTGAGATTCTGAGTAATAATGATTTTGAGTTGTGTCGACAGACTTATCAGCTTTTGAACTCGGATGATCATGCTAATTTCCTTCGCAAACATAAAAAGAATCCTGGTGATTACAGGCCTGACATTTGTCATCAGGTTGGTATGAAAATGATTTTTATCGATGGTGTTCTTACTACTTTCTGTTATTGAGTTTGATGTTTATGCTGCTTTGCTTGGTTGGTTTTGAAATTATTAGTCCCAAAATGATTTAATTTTGCAGTGTCCTAAACTTTATAAAGTATTGTCTTATTTAATAACTAAGGTCTAGCTCGAGATATTACTCTCCTTCAGAGAATGTACAGTGTCAGTCTTGGATTCTGTAGTAATAATTTGGCTTAAACATGATTTTAGTCTCCAATGTATGGTGTGTTTTGCTTTTGAGACATCAATTTTCTCTCATTTATGTACATTTGTCAACTTTGATTCTATAGCAAACTCTATGTCGAGAGTTTCGTAAAATATTAGATGATATGATCTGAAAATATGTTTGTGAGTTGGAGACATCTCTCATCTTATGATCCAGTTTTGTATGGTTGAATTGGGTCATGTCCAAATTTTAAGATTGTATCTAAGATCTGTTGAACTACCCGCTATTGAGATGCTTGAGTCATGCACCAAATATCTAGTCATATGTGTGAAGAGAGTGTGTTGAGAGTGCCACATTGGATGATATATGATATGACCTGAAAAAGCTAGTTTTTAGGGTTGATAACAATGGGTAAAACTTTGTTATTCTAAATATAACTGTGTTTTTACAACTATTTTCCTGATCCATTGTTATCAATTCAGCACTGTGTGTACTATTTTCTGCCATCTCCCTCAAAAGGCTCTAGAGCAAGCTTTAATTCTAGATAGCTACAAGAACAGAAGTAATACATTATTAGAAATGAGGGACATAAATAAGCCATCATAATTAGGCATAATAATTTAAAATCTCATTTAGATGAATTTTTTTCAGGCACTTCTATCAATTTTAGATAGCCCACTAAATAAAGCTGGGAGGTTGAAAGCGGTATACATAAGGACTGAAAAGGGTGTTCTTATAGAGGTTAAGAACTATGTTCGTATTCCAAGAACATTCAAACGGTTCGCTGGTGTCATGTGTAAGTTTTACTTAGCGATTGATTTGATTATGTTAACTCTACTATCTTTTGTGTACCTGCATAATTTTCTTTTTGTGAAGGAAATTAATAATTTCTCATTTGTTGTTCATAAACATTGCTGAACTGCAGTGGAACTGCTTCAAAAATTGAGTATATCTGCTGCTGGCAAGCGTGAAAAACTTCTCCGCACGATCAAAAACCCCGTTACCGAGCATTTGCCTCCCAACTCGCGAAAAGCAGGTTTGTTAATGTTGTTGTACAATGGTTTTGAAAATGATTTCTTGCAGTGTTGTCAATATTGGATTGTAGAAAATAGCAGTTTGTTCAATTTCTGCTATGCTATAGTGTTATGGCATCGCTGTAGCCGCTACTTGGCAACACTTTATGCCTAATAATGTATGGCAGAATAGTAGCTATTTGTTAATGTTATTATTTAGCTGCTATTGACAACACTAATTTTGTGAATGCCACACGTTTATTTCATATGGTTAGTTTGGCGGTGGAAATGGATCTGATATTTATTTCATTTGTTTCTTCCTGTCTATACACTTTTTGTTTCTCTTCTGTTAAATGAATAAGTAACTTCTTCCTTTGAATGCTAGGTTTATCTTTTAGTTCAGACAAGTTGGTAAACATGAAGGACTATTTGTCAACAATTCCAAGCGATCAAGACCTCGTCTTTGTGGTACTCACAAGCTCAACTTTTAAACTCGTATTTCTGTAATATGTTAGTGGATGTTTAACTTTTGAATGATCTAATTGAAGGTAGGAGCAATGGCACATGGGAAAGTTGAGACAGATTACACAGATGATTATATAGCTGGTATGTCATCCTTGTATTCACTTCTCTTTAAATTTGTTGTGAAAACTAAGAGCCTCTCTGGATTAACTTATTTGAGTTTATATACCCGTATAAACACGTGAACTTATTTGAGAGAACTTATAGAAATAGCTTATGAAAACAATTTATAACCTTGTATAAAAATAACTTGACTTCGTTTTATCTTTTATTGGGGAAATACTCATGCATAATCGTTTGATTAAGCTGTTTATCCAAACATGGCCTATATCTATTTGTGCACTATGGAAAGGAAAAAAAATACTAGTTTGAGTATCTTACTTCATTGTGTTTCTTGATTGCAGTTTCTGGTTACCCTTTAAGTGCTGCTTATTGTATTTCAAGGATTTGTAATGCCATTGAAGCAAAGTGGAAGATAGTGTAATGCTTATTGTATTTCAAGGATTTGTAATGCCATTGAAGCAAAGTGGAATATATTGTGATTTAGCTTCTCCCATTGATTCTCTATGGACAATATATTTACTTGAAGAGAGCATTCAGTTTAGTAATATCATAGATTGCTAGGTCTAGGTCTATGAATGAATTTTCCTAGTTTTAGATTTGGCTTATATATTTACTTAAGAGAACTTGTGTTTAAATTTGTAACAAATTGTTTTTTTGGTTGAATTTTCCTAGTTTTGGATTTGGCTTATTTTTCTTCTTCCTTGTATCATTCCTTGTATCAGTTTTGTTTGTAACTTGATATTCTAAATTATGGCTATGGTCTACATTATAGGAACTCTTGTTCTCTAATGCATTCGATTCGAGGTAATTTTATAGTTTAAACAAAAAAATTCTATAGCCACATTGAATGAGCTATCATTCCGTGGGTGTACTAATTCTATGAGGTTGTACTTTCAAATCAATGACAATTAACAATACTTATAGACTAAAAGCATGAGAAAAATTAGAAAACTCCTTATTGCAAAAGATTTCTTATTGCTCCCTCTATGCTTCTAGTATACCGAGTGAATTTTGGATATTATCCCCTATACATATGCAATCAAGGTCTTTCTTAGATATGCTCTATACAGATGGTATAGTTTTATTCCAAATTTTAGGATAATATTTAAATTGTTCAGTTCAGTGGGATAATATTTGAATGTCTCTGTTACTTTGAATATTTTTGGTGATGTATCTCTGAAAATATCTGATATAGCTTGCAGCTGTATAATCACTTACCCATTGTTGCCATACTTCATCTTTAACATAAACTCTCACCCTAAAAATCCTTCATTCTCAATCCATTTTTTCACTCTAAATCTCCATCCTTTTGATTCGACATATCATACGAAGTAAAAGAATATAGAATTTCAAGTAAAGATTGTTGTTTTTTTTCTACATTGTTCATATTAATTATAAATTTTCTCTGAAAATTACGATGTGTCCAAAAATATATCTCCAGAACGTGTATGAACTTGTCTGGAGATGTATTTTCGAATGTGTCGGTGTTCAATTTTCAGCCTTCTGCAGCAGTAGATTAATTAATGTTCTGTTATTGTTTTAATTGTTTTCAATAGATATGGTGTATCCTGGCGTTTTTCCAAAATAAGTAGTTTATCTGAACGATATTTTTTCGAATGTTTAAGGGGTTGTTGTGAAGACAGTAGATGTTGGCAACGACTTTAATAACGAGTAAGAGTTTGAAAATCGTGATAAATTACTTGAATGGATTCACATGGAGACATTTATACTTGGATTTGGTATAGTAATCGGAAGGTCCGATAATGACTCAGATAGATGATGCGCCTTTGTGACAATGTTGTGTGAAAGAAGCAAGAGATATCGAACTCCTTTTCAGAATCTTAAAAGAGCCGACGCAGGTAATAGAAAATGCGAGTGTCCATTTAAGGTTCGTGGTTACATGTTGACAAATAAAAATTAGAGATTTAATGTGATATGTAGTTTGCATAGCTCTGATTTGTGTTTAAAATTAGCCGGTCATCCTAGTGTATGTCGACTCAAGCCGTAAAAGAAGGAATGTATTAGTGACATGACATTGAATCTTGTTCAACCGAAAAATATACTTGCAACATTGAAACGGAAGTAACCCGACAAATATCAAATATCAAGCAAGTGTATAACATTCGGTACCTCACTAACAAGGCTATTAGGGGGGATAGAACTGAGATGCAATAACTCTTGAAACTCTTGGACGATAATAGTTACGTGTCCCGGTACAGAACGTGCGATGATGGAGTTACGGTTAGAGATAATTTTTGGACTCATCCTGATTCAATAAAGTTGTTCAACACGTTTTCGACGGTGTTCATACTTGATTCAACCTACAAGAGCAACAAGTATAAACTTTCATTATTTGAGATGATTGGTGTTACCTCAACTTAGAAAATATATTTTGTTGGTTTTGCGTTTCTTGAGTGTGAAAAAGAGGACAATTTTACTTGAGCATTAGAGATGTGTCGGTCACTTTTAAAGAATCAAGGTGAGTGCCTAAAACAACCGTTACCGACCGCGATACCGCATTGATGAACTCGGTTGCTAGGGTATTTTCTTCTTCTTATGCATTATTTTGTAAGTATCACATAACAAAGAATGTGAGAAGTCGGGTAAAACCTACGGTAGGGACGAAACCAATAGAGTCCGAATGTGGAAAATTGGTGAAGTCAGGTGTGATCATGGAAAAAATAATGGATGCATAGAATCATATAATAAATTTTTTCACAAAAGAATTATAAGCCAATTCTGTTATTCATTTCCGGAAAGTGTGTGAAAAGTATCATGCCTTGTTGAAATATGTTGAAAGTACAATCTTTGATCAGGTGAAGAAGAAAATAGTTTACGCGTGGACTGGTAATGTTAGACACCTTGTAAATACAAGTACTATCAGAGTTGAGTCGACCCATGTTACTTTGAAAAATTGATTGAGAAATAGAAAAAGAGATTTGTGTCGAGACTGTGACTCAGTTAACCACATGATTCAGAACCAACATAGTGAGATACAAACAACATTGGGTCAAAGCATCAAGGTTTTGGAACACCAATTTAAAGGCAACCTTTTATATTCTTAGTTCTTCGGTAACATTTATCGGGAGGGTTTGAACAATATTTTTCACGAGGCTAAACAAGTTGTTAATGTAGGTCCTGATAGGGCAAAGTGTGGTTGCACTATTGTGAAAACATATGGTCTCCCGCGTGCTTGTACTTTTGCTAAAAAGGTAAAATTTGGTGAACCAATAAAAATGGACATGGTTTGCTCTCATTGGCAGATACTTAGGTTCGATGATGATGGATACATGGATGACGGAAAATCGAATATCTCTATTTTGACCAAATGGGAAGCCATACAAGAGATATTTTCGAAGGCCGATGACATCATGAAAATCCACATCAAAGAACAATTGAGGAAGATTGCCTATCACAAAACCACCAACATGAAACTGCCTTCTCAACTGGTAAAAAAATAGATGCTCTAAAGAAAATGAAGCTTACACTGAATGACAACTCGACTACACGGTCTCGTTCATATTTTGAACACGTTGACAAAGTGTTTCCCAACTCACCGACTCCAAAATCTCTAAAAAGTGTTGTGAAAAGAGCCTACGTTAGAAAACCATCTCCAACGCCGCTTCCATCGAAGATTCCATTCATCAACGAGATGTTAGTTTTTATGCACAAATATATCGAGCGGATCGTCGATGTTGTGGGAGACAGAAATTGCGGTTATCAAGCCGTTTCACTTTACTCGGTAAGGGAGAAGATAGTCATGCGCTTGTCCGAGATCAAATTATCCAAGAGTTGAAGACACATAAAGAATTGTACACGCGGTTGTACAAAAATAAAGAAAAACTCAATATGGTTTATGAGTCTCTTGTTCCTTACTGAAGCGGTCAGACACCAGAGTCAAAATTGATGAGCTTTTCGGAAATGGGTCACCTAATAACATGTGCATATGATAGGGTGTGCATTGACCTGACACACTACAGTTTTTCGAAAATCTTTTTTCCACTGCACACCGCACCACCCCAAAGTCTAAATGATCGTATCATGTGTATTGGATGACTTTTAAACTCAATTTATTTTGTTCAAGTTTACTTGAAATTGGGTTGTCCCATACCACTTACATCACCTGAGTGGACGACTCATTCAACCGCAATAGCCGATACTTGGTCGAATCATTTCATGGAAATGATACAAGAATTCGAGAGATTGAACAACATTGAAAAAGAATCGAATGGACAAAAGTCGAAGGGGGTACAACCTATAGATTTAGTCAAAGACACTTGTTTCGATTTGTTTTGTTTTCTTGTTTAACCGAACAAATAATTATATATATTTGTATCTCAATATAAATGAAATGTTATATATTCACCTTTGGTCTTTATGCATATTTGGTCTTTATGCATATTTGGTTCATATTTGATCTTAATGTTAGTGTCTGTTATATGGTTCTGTTTTGGAAATGGTTCAGAGAAAGTTCCGGAGATGCATTTTCAGAACAAGATTATAGGGCGCTTCCGGAATTATATCTTTGGAATTAATATGACAGTTAATAAATGGTCCATATTGAACCATGTCTTATATAAATCTAAGTGTTCTTGTGTTATATTTCACACAAACTCAAAATGTCTCAAATGTCACAAATAAACATCCGCTCGTATGTCGCAAATGTATCCTACTCTAGAGGCTCTACACTCGACCAATCATTCAAACTCACCAATCTCACCCTCTCGAAGATATCATAGACGAAATCCGCTATCTCCTACCTTACGGAGACAAGCGAAGGATTGTGAAGCTCAAGTATTGTTCACCTTCTGTTGAAAACGAAGGGAACATCATGTTCAAAAAATTTGAGCATAAGACTCGAGCGAATGTTAAGGCTATGTAGGATACATATTTCGGTTTTGAAGAGAAAGTTCTGCTTGAGTTGGAAGCGACATTACAAAGATGGATCGAAGATATCCTTAAGACGCGCAAGCGTTCACTGAGATATTGAAATGTAATATTTAATTTTCGGTTGAAATCATCATTGTAATGATCATTTTATGTTATGAATTTCAATTGCATTTTGGAAAGTTCATGTTTAGTTGAATATGTTTATGGTGGTTTTTCGAAAATGTAACTACGAAGTTGTTCCAGAGATGCATCTTCAGAACAAATTAAACCCACTATATATATGGCACTCTTGGAATGACCTTTGATGAGTCTGTAAAAAGAGTGCGTCCGAAAATATATTTTCGAAAACAGGGAGCATAAGTGGAATTTTGCACGGTGCGGTGAAAAGATATAGGGTGTAATAAGAAATTCTCTATTGCAAAATAGTTAGAATATATAGATTAAGTGCAAGTGAATTCAAGTTAGAATTTTGAATATTTTTCAATGATTTTTTGATTAAATTTTTAATTTAATCTAAAGAAATTTAATTAA